TCCCGCTGTGCAGCCACTGCCTGTCCACACGTGGATCTAAAGCCCCCAGCTGAGGAGATTCACGGCTCAGGCTGAGGAAACAGACCCACCTCTCTGTCTCTCCAGTTCATTCAGCATTTGGTCCAGAAGTTCCAGTGCCTCCTGAGATGGTTTGTCTCCTGGAGGTTGATTCCTGCCTCTTGGAGGACCTGAATGGGAAGCAGTTCCATTTGACATGAACGGATTAGAGAAAATCAAGAGCTCAGCCTGTGAGTTCAGCAGAGACAGACTACTCACCCCTGCCATGTGAGCTGGACCACCGTGGAGCAACCAGCCCAGGAGCTGGAAAAGTCCTCCCTGCAGACACTCCTGTAACTCAACAGCCAGAGAAGATTCTGTCACCTGGCTTTTGCCATGTGGTCAATTATTATTCTTTGAGCACACATTGAGAATTACCTGCAGGAGACCTCAAGGCACCCAAAGCATCTTCCATCCAACCTGTTGGAGAAGTATTCCCAGTGTTCTCATCTAGAAGCAAACAGAGATGGGAACCATTTCCATTGCATGCTGGGATCCCCTCCTCCCTCAGAGAACTGTGGCACTGCAGGGGCTCAGGGAGCACCGTGGGGGCCAGATGTCAATGGACATGGCCAGAGCTGCAGAGGGGCCTGGGCAGCTCTGGGCTGGCTCCTGGCTGCTCTCCACAGTCTTTCCAGGCCCTGTGCAACATCCCTGGGGGAGCAGCTGGAGCAGCCAAGGGCCCCTCGGGGCTCTCTCCTGCACCCAGGAAACCCTGGCTAAAGCCCTGGGGAAGACTGCAGCAGGCAGTACCAGCCCCATCCCTCCCTGCCCCAGGACAGCTCCCACAGCCCAAGGGGACAGAGTCAGGCCCTCTCAGGAGACACGTGAGCCCCTGCCCAGGGTGGGAGCCAGGGAGTGCTCCGGCCCTCGGCTGGCGGGAGGGATCCCGCTCTGGGCTGCTCTGGTGCCTTGGGCCTCTGGAGACTCAGGGCCAGCTCTGGGAGCAGCTGCAGCGGGAGGGACCTTGGGGCCGTGAAAGCAGCAGCGGGGCAGCGAGGCTGCGATGGATCCCTTCCCACTGTGCAGCCACTGCCTGTCCACACGTGGATTTAAAGCCCCCGGCTGATGAGTCTCATGGCTTAGGATGAGGGAAAGAGACCCACTTCTCCGTCTCTGCAATGCACTCAGCATTTGGTCCAGAAGTTCCAGTGCCTCCTGAGATGGTTTGTCTCCTGGAGGTTGATTCCTGCCTCTTGGAGGACCTGAATGGGAAGCAGTTCCATTTGACATAAATGGATTAGAGAAAACCAGAGCTCAGCCTGTGAGTTCAGCAGGGACAGACTACTCACCCCTACGATGTGAGCCACCTTTGCGTGGAGGAACTAGCTCAGAAGCTGGAAAAGTCCTCCCTGCAGACACCCCTGTAACTCAACAGCCAGAGAAGATTCTGTCACCTGGCTCTTGCCATGTGGTCAATTATTATTCTTTGAGCACACACTGAGAATTACCTGCAGGAGATCCCAAGGAGTCCAAGCCACCTCCAACCAAACTGCTGAAAAAAGAATTCCCAGCACCCCCATCTAGAAGCCAACAGAGATGGGAACCATTTCCATTGCATGCTGGGATCCCCTCCTGTCTCAGAGAACTGTGGCACTGCAGGGGCTCGGGGAGCACCGTGGGGGCCAGATGTCAATGGACATGGCCAGAGCTGCAGAGGGGCCTGGGCAGCTCTGGGCTGGCTCCTGGCTGCTTTCCACAGTCTTTCCAGTCCCTGTGCAACATCCCTGGGGGAGCGGCTGGAGCAGCCAAGGGCCCCTCGGGGCTCTCTCCTGCACCCAGGAAACCCTGGCTAAAGCCCTGGGGAAAACCATCCCCAACGCTTCCCAGGGAGAAGAGCCCGCTGGCCCGGGAAAGGTGCCCCAGGCCGCCGGCT